GAAAGGGTTAGATTTATTTGAAATTTAAAAAATCAACTAACAAAATTCACATATAATAAATATTTGCACATTAGGTATATCAATATAAAATTTGGCATGGAAAGTACTTTTTTTTTATTATTTAACATGTATGTTAGATATCCCTTTAGGGTAATGTGCCTATTATATAATTTAGCCCTTATTTAGGTGTCTATACCCTAGACTGACCTGGAAGCAACATTAAAACAGGATAAAATGGGCTGAAGATGGCGAGCAAAAAGACAGGGGGGCTGAAACCAAACATGATATATTGTTTAAGCTCAATGAAGGTTAAACATTTGATTCTAGAGAAACTTTTGAATCTGCACCCTTCATATTTTTGAATAATATATGAGAAATAAGAGAGGCCAATTCAGATGGAAAATTCACCGACCCAAAAGGGGTGGATCTGATGAGAAATTTCGGCAATATGTGGAGGAACAAACATTGACACATGACACCAAATCACACATTCGACACAAACGTTTAAAGTAACAAACTATAGAGAGAAGAGATAATATAAACACAGTCATCAATAATGAATCGTCATATCAAATTAGAATGTTATAGAAAAAAAAATTATAATTGAAAGAAAACAAAAGAAATTGAAAGGTAGAAGATAGCTCAATCTAAATGTAGGACTAGTCTTTCATACATGAGACAACAAGGCAGGTGTATCATCCATCATAGAGTAATATGCCCTTCAATGAGTTTTTTGAGTTCGAATTCAACTCATTGGTCCAAAATGAGTACAAACTAAAAAGACACTCTATTATTAGAACAGTAAGAACACGTCTCACGTCCTTCGTTATTACCCTTACTTCATTTTATAACAAAATAGAAGTCATCAGAACCTTGAAAAGCTTTTTTGGAAGAAAGGTTTTGGCCTTTATACAAATTAAAGATGGATGAGTAGGAAGCCAAAACCTTTTTTTTTCCCAAAAGTCAATCTTTCGTTAAAATATATCCCTTTCAATTTGAACTTGAATAGCTCTATGTGATAACCCAAAATTTTGGTAGAATTTTTGTTATCCCGATTTGAGCGAATTGTTTCAAAAGTTAGAGTTTCATGGAGAATTAAGTCATTTCGTGTGAACCATGATCGAGCTTTCTCTAATATGTCGGTATGGATCACATGAGGATCATCTATTTTATACATTTTTTTGCCCAAGGTTGCATCATCTGCATACAATATAGTTTCTATGTCTGACGAGTTCACACATAGTCGATGATTTCCAATAATTAAAAATAGAATTCTTTTCAGTGTATCATATTTCGAACAAAGCAGAAGCGAACGACAAGCAACATATTTGCCATCGTCCCCTCTGCCTGTGGACGAAGTACCAACCAACCGCATATCCGAACGGCCCAAATCATCGTAAAAGGAAATAAATTCCACCTATAGTAATTGGGCATACTTGAAGACTGGCTATAAATCTAATTATCTAAAGGAACGATTTGTTCAGGCCAGCCTTTCCTTGCCCACACAGTAGGTTAGTGGACTGACACCTATCAGAAAACAACTACTACCCTGGCTGATGCCACGAAGGGCGTTGGATTAAATCAGAGTAATTGTTTTTTCAAAATCCATTTTACCAGAATTAAACGTTTATTTAATTAGGGTTTGTAATTACCTACTGTTATAAAAAAGACATTTCCACTGTAATATTTGAAATTGTCGAGCTTTCGACGAGAATTTTACATTTTTCATGAATTCAAAACAGCCAATTCTAAAAATTTCTCACATAAAGGTGGTGTATTATTGTATATATTTTTTCAAATCGAAGTCGATAGTAACAGAAGTGACCCAAATATTACTATCAATCAAAAAGCTATGAACATTACACGCAGCGCTTTTTCAGTCAGGCAATGGTTAGACAACTGCAAGTTATTTCTTCAGGCATGTATTATTGAACTGCTTCCTTCCTTTCTTTGGGAGATTCCCACATTTTTTGTATCAAGATGAAGAAGTAGATTCCTAATGAATATTTATATTCTACGAAGCCATGGAAGAACCACACACTCAATTTTTTTTAATTCAACTCAAGATTTTAGACCTGAAGGGAAATAGTTAAGATCTCAAAGTAAACTTCGGAATTCGAAAACCAGTAAAGTTGAAATAAAAAGCAAAGTGTGGTAGACCTTTTTGGGGATTTTCACCTTTCATATTTTGGAGAAATTAAATTGTAAAGGAGTACTTTATACGGCTAGAGAAAAAGCGAAGTGTAACGATGCCCGAGAATGAACATTGAGAAGAATCAGAATCAGGCAATCAACAAGATCAAAATTGTTATAATAAATCAGAGCTTGATGCTGAGAGGCATAAACTCAAACAATCAGAACACAGCGGTATATATGAAAGAAGTTTATTTCGAACAGTCCTTTAGAATCAGATCTTACTTGGCTACCCATCCGAAAGAAAGCTATGAAAGTGGCAAAACTGCAATGGATTAATCTCAGAGAACACTTTGTAGGTGAAAAATAAGTTTTATTTACTATACTGTATCACAGAAAAAGATTCCCTCCACAAAAAATAATTTTGTTCAATATTTGAGAGTTTGTCTACAGCTTCGTAAAACTGTGTCATTGGTTTCATCACAATTCACTTCTTTTCATCAGTTTCGAAGACACTAGGATTACATTTGAAGCACTTATAAAGAGATCAATCAGATGCCTTCAGCGGATACATAAAAACAACGTGTCTTCTGGAAACTCTCTAAGTATACAATTTTTGAGTAACTACCCACTGCCTGACCCAACGGAATGAAAAAGAAACAGCCATGGAAAAATAATAAAATGCTTATACTTATCGAATCGCCGGCGAAAGTAGTACACTGTTTTCAATAATCAGAATCTTCTTTAAACTAAGATACCTGTTTAAGCTCCATCCATCGTACGGCCTCACCCAGTGTGGCAAACTCGACAAAGGCGAAACCACGGGAAGCACCTAAACAGCACAATAGATACTAATGGCATTACCCGATCTTACGAGGGGAAATATTCACAAAAAACGGCCTAAGAAAATTTCAAAATTCACTGCCAACCTATATATAATTACCTGTATCTTTTTTCCGGATCAAACGGATATCTTTTGGCATCAGCTCGCATGAAATTATGTCCTGTCGAATCTGAAAAAAAACATCATTTTCATGTTTCATTTATCTAACTAATTCATGCAGATTTTTTGTGATATTTGTGTGTATTCATTCTATTTTTCTTATGACATATCAAAAAAGTAAGATTACTGGGCATCACAATTGATGACGCATGCAAATGGGAATTTCACACTGACCACCTCCGTCACAAAATCATCAACTTCGCCTACTGAACAGATTTTTGAGTCACTCCGTGACTTAATTTATGGAACTCTTTTATGAAAAACAGTCCTCTCAGACTCGAATGGTCTATGGTACGCAGGAAAAAGCTCTCAGAATAACAGCTGAAGATTAATTTAATGAAATATGCAACTCCTCCCAATTTTTTATAAAGATCTACCAGTATCCAGCAAATGTTGGTCTCAACTCTTGTCTTATACAACTGCTCAGAACCGATATGGTTTTTTATAATGGATTTTCCTCAGTACCATATATCTCAACACCTGAAGTACTGCAAGGGTCTAATTTGGGGCCCCTTGCTTTTCTTATTACTTATACATGATCACACTTCCGAGCTTTCATGTGGTGAAACCTCAACTGAATATTATAAAAAACTGGTGTCAACATAATGATCCCAGCATGAATCTTTTACTGATGTTTGTGCTTAAACTACTATATTTTTCATTTGTTCCATCTAAGCTGGAATATGCCACTTTGATTTGGTATCCTACTACAGTGTCCATGTTGAAACTTTTGAGAAAGTATAACGGTAGTTTTTGGAGTTTGTGGCATTCAGAATTGATGATTTTTATCCAGCCAGAGGTCGTAACCGTAACTTTATTATGAAGGTTTAGGCTACCCACTTCAGAGATGGGTAGATGATTATTAAAATTATTAATGGAATAGACGATGCACCTTTATTACTGTATCAAATTAATTTCAGTATAGTTCAAGTTAAAACACGCTGACAAATCCCTTTCTCAATCCATTATTCAGAACTAACCTCAATAGTTTTCCCACAAAAGTTATAATGTGTTTTTGAATTCAACAAATATTGGTATCAATGTAGTATCCACTTTGATTCGCTCAGAAAAATCTTGAATTTGAATATTGTATTATATAAACACACATGTTACAGTTACAGAATATGATATTTAAGCTAGAAGAGGTCTTTGAGATACCTTACAAAGTCTAAGCCGAGAGATCACTGCAAACCTTCATTCATCAGCCACAAAATATTAACTGTCACCTGTTTTATTATATATAATGGAAACAGTATACTCAATTCATAAAAGTAAAACTAGCAAGTAAAACTCACCTTTTAAAACATTCTTTTTATTCAATTCAAGATTTTATGAACTCACCCTATATACATTGATCTCTTTAAAGCTATTGCTTTCAGTTTTAACTTTGTGTTTCAAATTTATACTCATTTCATTATGATTGTATAATGTGCTTGGAAATTTACTTAAGTAGCATTACTAGTCAGTCATACCCATTTATATGTATTGTATGACCTTATTAAACAGTCTGTCTGTCTACCGCATGTACCTACAAAGGTTTTCACAAACCACCATTAGATGGCGTTACTAAAATGTGGCATCACGATATTCCTAATCTTCACCGTATTTAACTTGGTGTTTAAAAATGCAAGTGTGTTAAAAATGGAAGTCGCTCATGAAGGTTTTCAATGGATGGCTTTTACAATTTCAAAGCAAGTCTAACTCAACAAGAATGTATAGAATTGCCTCGTACAATTTTTGGTGATGAGGTACCTTAAAAAAAACTGTTTTACAGTTCATTTGCAAAATTTTGTTGTGGTCGTGTGTCCCTCAGTAATGAATCTCGTGAAAGGTGATCAGAAGAATTGGTGCATTTTTTATTGAGACCTCTAATTTGTTGAATAGTTTCAGTCTAAGATATTGTGGACTATTTTGGTATAAAAGGTAGTTCAGTGTGACTCAGAAACCAACAAACCCCTAGTTCTAGTGGGGTATGGGATGATCAGATGAAATAGAAATCTCCCCATGAAACCTTTTTCATAAATTATCACTACTATTTAAAATACTGTTCATAATAATCGTTGTCTCCTTACATCATATTCTGATATATGTTGTGCAAGTCCCCTGATCATTATGGTGTTGTTTGGTGGCTGACTTTTGTATCCAATTATTTCTGATCCGCTAGCTCCAATAAGGCCTCCGTTCTGGCTTCTCCCACTGTCAAAATCATAATTTTCATTTAGTAAACATTTTCTGTAAATATTTTAGAACCATTCCGAAAAACGTATACCTATCACTGTCTCTATCATCGTCGCGATATCTATCTCTGTCGCGGCCCTTTCGATCTTCAGATTTTCTTTCCCATCGAGATCCACTGCTTCGTGATCTCCGTCTTGAGCGATGTTCGCGATCTCTGTCGCGATGCCGATGGTACCTGTTGCTCCTGTCTCGATCCCTTTCTCTGAAATCGGTACTGCGAGATCTACTTCGTCTGTCTTTTTGACTATCCCAAAGGTCCCTCTCTCTATTGTATTCCCAATCACTGTCGTAGTCGCTTTCTCGTCTATCTGAATAGTCTGGATGAGCATCTGAAAAAAAAATCATAGTTCAAAACTATATTTCAATACAATTAAGCTGTTCTGTTTTCATAAACAGAATGTTTTATGTATTGTTATAGTAAAGACGAAAAACACTGCCAATGAATATAAGGGGAGACAACCTTTTTCAAAATTTTTAACACCGAAACCTCAGGCACTGTGCTTTATTTCATCAGCAATTTAATCGTACCCATTGATATAAATATCATTCATATATTTAGCATCTGCTATGTTTTCATTAAATTTTTAAACAATGTAAATTGAGATGGTTACACTCCGTTTCCTAATAGTAAAAAGTGCTAATTAAAAAATAAATTGTTTATTGTCTAAACAGCAATAAATCCCAATAACAAGACATATTAATATTATTAACAAGCATGTTACAGTTTATATCTGCCTATATACACAATACATATACATACATACATACATGAATATAATACTAATTTATCAACTAGAAACACCTGAAGGGAGTAAACAAAAAATAAAATATAGTAAACATTTAGGAGAGTTAAGCAAAAAATTAGGTGGAACACTTGTGTGCAGCAAGCTAGGAGAGTAATTGAAAAAAACATAAGTCAGATATAGAGCTAACAAGTAAAAACAGTTCAGGTGTATTACAAAAAAAACATAATTCAGCAGTAATACAGTAGTAGTAATAAGCTCACATGGTGGAATAACTCTCAATTTGGGCTCATGTATTTTGACTAGAGTGTAAAAGTTTCTTAACGTGGTTCTTAACTTGACCAATAGATAGATAATAAATGTCGAGATTTTCACAGAGTTGATTGTGTCGAATGTCGAATTCAATTTGAAAATAAGTAACTATATATGGATGTGTAGATCATGCAAAGAAGTAACTTTCAGACGCAAACTGGAAGAAAGCCCTCCTGAAACAGCTAATTTCACATAAACATTGAATTACACGAAAGAAAAAAAATTCTTTCGAAACAAATACTTTTATATGAACACTGAATTATACAGAAGATACTGTTCTCTACTCAGTTTGTATTCCAAACATTCGTTATGGAATAAACATTTTTAACTTGAACGCCAAAAATTTAAGAAATTTGTTTTGTACCCGTTCAATGTTAAGTGCAGGACTTTCATAGGTGGGTGACCAAATGGAACTGCAATACTAAAACTGATCTTACCAGGGTGAAATACAGAATTTGTAAACATTCAATATTAGAGAAGTCCTTGGAAGTACGACAAATGAAGCCTAGCATTTTTGTTGCTTTGTTCATAACATAATTATAATGTAGGTAAAAGTCCAGTTTTTTATCCATAACTACTCCTAAATCAGTTACAAATTCGACACGTGTTAAAAGTTCTCCCGATATGTAGTAATCATAGTTTACAGGTGTAAGTACTCAATAGTACGTCATACATTTACATTTATTCACGTTGAGATTCACATCATTTTGTGAACACCATTCACTGAATCTGTTTGAATCTGTCTGTTATACTAAGCAATCATCTGGTGTTTGAGTTGTCCTGAACATTTTTAAATCATCTGCAAAAAGTAAGATGTCTGTATATTTTAAATTAACTCTGATATCATTAATAAAAATGTTGAAAAGAAACGGCCCTAGATGGCTTCCTTGTGGTACACCTGATAAAACATTTATTTAGGAAGAAGCACTATATTCGGTAGATTTGAAACCATTGAGCTGAATATATCGTTTTCGATCCCGTAGATAGGACAAATTGGGTCACATACCGTATACATACATACACCATATACATACAACTATAAAAAGTCTTTTGAGATTTTGTTATATCAAATTATAATGTTCAAAATGGGTAATTCAGTTTTCACTTTTATTACAACTGAATTATGTACGCTTCTTACAACAAAATTTATTAAATGGTCAAAAATACTGATTGCGCATATGACTAAAATGTGGCATCACGATNTCAAGTATACAACGTGCTAACGAAATTATTGTATATGGCGTCATTTACTCGTTCCTAGGGTAAAAGTTTGAAATTCGGAATGACCGTATAGTTGCTTGGAGCCAATATGTCTAATTGAAACAATTGAAAACCTATTTCGGTTCAATAGGAAATTAAACCTAAGTCAAGAATTTCAAAAAGAACCCTGTATATTTTTCAGAACCTTCGATAGAATATAAAATTATCTTTTCAACGGTGTACCACAAGTGAACATTTCCTTTCAAAATGGCGCCGTAGGAGCCATGTTCTCCAAATTCAATATGGCGGCACCATGACGTCATGTCACAACTCGATGTGAGAAACAAAAGAGGATGTTTGCTCAGTTTTTGAATGAAAATTAAAGAATCGAGATTTCTCAACAATTCATGTACTTTTCAATAATCTATTTTTACTTAAAATATCTAGAAATATCAATATTAATATTACTTTTTAATAGTTTCTATGAAATGTATCTCAAATACTGTGTTTTCAATCGAAATTAGTAAACGATTTATTTTTTTGGCCAGTGAAAAAATCAGTTTCAAAGCCTTTTTTTTATATATTTTTCGAAAATAAAAAACTCTTTTTTACTGGCTCAGAAAAATTAATCGCACTGTATCTTTGACACTTTATTATCAGTATAAGAGGTACACTTCAATGTTAAAGTTTAAGTAATACAATTTTCCATTAAAATTGTCAAGATAAATCGTTGAAAAGAGAATTTTTCATTGTATCAAACGGTCTAAAAAAATATTGAAAGGGTTAGATTTTTAGCAGTGACTAAATTTTGGGAAAGAAAGTTTTTGGCTTTCTACTACTCCATCTCTTTGTATACATTGTAGAAAGCCAAAAACTTTCTTTCCCAAACATGTTTACTGAAAATCTAAGAACATCTTGTCTGCTGGGATTCCACAAGGCTCTTATACAATCACAGACGTAGTGATTAGTCTGTAATAAAACAAATGCACATGAAAGATGATTCCAGTTCCTTGTATCCCCAATCCCCAAAAAACTGTCAAATTACACATTGAAAAAACGTGTTTTGAAAATCATTTTTTTTACTAACTTACCGGATTTCAATCTAGGTGGTCTTTCCAAAACATATCTCAATTTCAATTCCAAACCTATCTGCCCCTGGCGATATATTTCTCGAGATTCTAATCGTAGTCGCTTAGTAGCAGGAGAAAATTTGTGAAAAGAATTCAGGAGTCTACGTATATACCTAGCAATTAGAAAATCCATGTTTGAAATATCAAATTTACAGGTATAGGACTCAAACAAAAATTATACTCTTCCCAGATACGGTGCTACGTATATTTATTTATTCCGAACCCAAAAGCCTTCAAAGTCCGAAGTGAACTGGCAGAAAACATATAAAGGATGCACATTAGGTGGCCCTTTTAATTTTTGTATATGGATAATTTAAGTAATCAAGTACCAATATGCGCATGCTCTATATATGAAAGCTTAACTTCAGCCACAGAATTAAAGTTTTATGCTGGACGATCTTTGCCCTATGACATATGTCGTCAAAATGTACTTGAAAACGGTAAACACTAGCAAAATAATATGCCATTGAAAATGTTCTAGGACAGTTATATTTAATGAGCATCAGGTATCAGAGCCTACAGAAAAGTCTACCATATACTATGAATTGAATGGCCAGTTCATATCAGCTGTTTCAAAACTTGGTAACATCAGTTTATCAAATTATCTGAAAGAACAATCTGTTTCAATTATTGGAACAAACTTGCAGGCCGGTTTCGGGATGTTTGGCCACTCGTCAGTGCAAGGTAGTGTATATCATCAACATAAAGTCGATGATTTCCGATAATTGAAAATCGAATTCCTTCAGAGTATCATTCCTCGAACTAAACTGAAGCATACAACAAACAACATGTTTGTCATCGCCCCATCTGCCTGTGAACGAGGTAACCAACCGCATATGTTTGCCCAACTCCTCGTATAAGAAAGAAAACTTCACAAATTTGTGAAGGTGTATATAATAAAATGCTCTAATAAAAATATTCACAAATAAACTTTTTCGAATGAATATAATCAAAGCTACGATCAAAATCAAAAACAAAGTATTGTTATTGTCACTACTAACACTGTTACCACTACCCGCCTGTAAAGAAACAGTTTTATGATTTCACAGAGGCACAGAAATCTATGCCTCTGTGAATCTGATTCTAAGTTTGACATCTGAAACAATTTGCCAGCAATTTGATCCTTACTGTGACTCTGTGTATACCACTACGCCACCTGCAGTCCGGAAGCAACTCCACTATCACATATTCCGGTGTGGGAGTCAGAATAATAAATAAATATATTCTGCAGAGGTGCCTAGATATGCCTAAGTTCTAGCATTGTCCTAGTAAAAATACCAAACCCTTGCCTCTCATGTGAGACCTACTATTTTGTAGGTACGGGAAGGTTGAAGTTCATCAATTACATAAATTTCTTTCGACATCTCTCCCAAAACAAAATTTTACTGAAATTCATTCGAAGGTGTTAAGACTGAACTCATTTCTTTGACACCAGACACTGAACTCATCCACAAACTTTTCTAATTTGGTTACAAGTAGTTCAGCATTACGGTCTGATGTTTTTAGGCTAGTGTCATCAGCGAACGCGGTTATTCTGGAGCCACACTAACGGCTAACGTCAATGCCCATTATCGCGGCGTTAATTTTACTTGGAAGATGGACAATGACACTGACGTAGTGTGGCCGCTTTATCGCATTAATTCTCGCGTTAATCTCTTTGATGTACCGCCACTTGAGCTATCGCCTAACGCCAAACGGCAATGTTACGGCCGTTGTCAAATTATCGCGTTAAGTCGTGGCTACACCTACGGTTAACGTCCATTATCGCGATAATTAATGGCATTTCTCGTTAGTGTGGCCCCAACATTATATGACTGTCAACCACCTGTGATGGTAGATCATTAACATAGAACAAAAAAAGGAGGGGTCTGAAAACTGAGCCTTGAGGCACACCGAGCTGTACCCTTCGGATTGATGAAAAAGTACCGTCCTGAAATACTGCTATATTTCTATCCGTCATGTATGATTCAATCCAACTAGTTACATTGCTAGGCAAACCTAACTCAGTTAATTCAACTACTAAAAACTCGAGACAAACTGAGTCAAAAAATAGAAAGGACACATTTATTACTCTCAATCCCATTATACACACATCGGAAAAGTCTAAGGATATTTTTAAAAATGGCAATAATTTTATTAGTATGTTATAAAAATATCCCTAGACTTTTCCGATGTGTGTATTTTGTGAGCTACGAACATTCGGTTAGCGATTTTTTTACATGGTGGTACACTCGTAACGAATCATAGGTATAGGTATGGCTATGACATCGAAACCAAAGTCGAATCGTTCCAATGGAAGACCCCAGAAGAGCCAAGACCATAAAATTCACACTAGGTTAGGTTAGGTCCAAAATGAGTGGGTTTATTCGACCCACCACCAACCCGCAAGGGTTTATTGTGACTCACACCAATTCACACTCCACCAAATAAACCTAGCTTCTTAACGAAGCCGATTAGTTGTATGGTAAGTGGTCTTTCAGGTCAGATTCGGTCCACAGCGGGGCAGGCACAAACAGAGGCGACACACACTGTCTTCAGACAGTCCGAGTTTCTGCATATGATGGTTCAAATGACAGTGACCTGTAAGAAGGCCAGTTAGACATCGTAGTTCATCCCTACTGTTGTCCAACAACTGTTTGGTATCAACCTTCGATGAATAAACGCCTTGGAGTGAGCCAATCCTGGAAGATTCTGCTAGAAGTCCATAAATCTTCTTGCCATCCAGGTGTTCCATGTTTGTTTGGCAAAGCCCAAAGCGATGCTAATGACACGTTTTGGTCCAATGAAGCCTCTGGCAGCACTCTCCTTTACAAGAGAGTCAGCAGCTTCATTGTCTTCCAGGTCAGTATGGCCAGGAATCCAGATCAAAGACAATCTGTTAAGTCTTCCTATGAGGTTGGATTGTTCCAATCTCTCTGCACACAATTCAATAGCGTAAATTTCCGCTTGAAATACAGTCGCATAGGTTCCTAGGCAGGTAGATATCTCTGTCCTGGGTTTACTACTAAAAACACCTGCACCAGAACCGGAAGGTGTTTTTGATCCATCTGTGAACCAACAAATATCTGCTCTTAATTAATATATCCTTCTCCCGGAGGATCCAGTTTGTGTGGACCATAAACTGTTACTATCTAAGCTTTATAGATCAGGTGTAAGAGGGATACCACATGATTTGGTGAGATCTTATCTTATAGGCAGGAGGCAAAAAGTGAGAATTGGTCAGTGTACAGGCGATAATTGTGATATAAAGCAGGGAGTTCCCCAGGATTCGAATTTAGGTCCTTTTTACTTCTTGTTATTTGTTAATGATCTGATTATGTTCATCAGTAAAACAAACTCGGTATTCGTTACAAGTTATGCTGACGATACAAATATTTTGATTGTTGAAGACAACATGGAGGCACTCCATAAAACTGCTGAGGATATATATGATAAAATCATATTGTGGGCTGAAAAGAACAATTTGAAACTCAACAAATCTAAATCTAACACCATATTGTTCAGCAGACTTAGTCAGAGGGATTCAAATGTGATACTATATGAAAATAGTGAAAAATCAATTAGTCCTGTAGAAACTGTAAATATGCTAGAAATTGTTCTGGATAAAAAATGTATATGGAACCAACATATTGATACCTTATGTAATAAACTGAAGAAAAGCTGCTATTCTATCAGATATTCTATCAGATCATTTTGAAAATGAAAGTCATTGTTTGAATATGATTTTGTTTCACATTAAGCCAGTTGAGGATATCTAACATCGATTTTATATTCGTGTACCTGTTGCAACCAAGGATAATACGCATTGCTTTATTTTGTAGAATTTGCAGTCTGTCATAATTAAATATGTTCGTGTAAATTATAAAACTACAATATTTGCACTGATATCTGACTAGACTGAGATAAAGATGAATATAGTCAATGTGTTTATCAAATTTTAGTTGGGTATCAATTACGAATCCCAAATATCTCATTTCCTGATCTGATCATTTATTTTGATATCTAATTCCATACTAAGAAATTTTTGATACAGAAAATTATTGCCAATAAACATATATTTACTTTTAGTTTCATTAATTTTCAGTTTATTGATTTTAAATTTATAAAAAAGTTGATCTATTTCATCATTCAATGTGTTCATAAGATCAGCGAAATCACTACTATTGAAGTATATCAAGGTATCAACAGCGAAAAGATGAAATTTACATTTCCTCAGAACAGAACCCAAATCATTTACATATAACAAGAATGAAAGAGGACCTAAAACACTTCCTTGTGGCACACCATAGTTGTTTGCTAAACTCAAAATTGAATAACCAACAATATGAAATACATTTTTGATAACTTCGAGACCAACTTCATCAGTACTATATTTTTTTCTTTGTGATTTTATTATAAGTTTTGTAGGAACAAAGGGATGAATTCAGACATGTTTGACAAATAGTTTGGCACTGTATCGAGTATTTCATCTTTTTCTGCATTTTCTGGACTCATAGGTACTAGTTATTATATCTTGAATACTATTTATAAAATACTGGTTCAATACATTTGTGATTGTTATTTGATCACTATAATTTATTCCTTGGCAGTTTAGACTGGAAATTGAACTTTCTACATTTTCCCTGCCTAAAAGTTCTTTCAGGTGCATCCACATTAACCTAGGATTACCTTTATTCCCATCAATTTGTTGTTCAAAGAAATATTTTTTTGACTCTCTCATTGTTTTGACGACATTATTTCTAGCCTGCAATCATATCAATAGAGGAAACAGTATTATGTACAAAAATTTCTGAAAGAACATCAACGTCACTATATGTATCTTTTCCACAAGTAAATTTGTTAATTCGTTAGTTCAAGCTTTCTAGTTTGAGGCAAGTCCAAGAGTATATTACCTGGATTACCTTTTTTATATAACGGTATGATTAATGACTTCTCTGAAGCTTAAAGAAAATGCCTTGAATATATGATTGATTCTAGAGATAAGTTGAAGGTTTAATGATCACAGTTAATATTTTTTTCAATGTTATTACCAACAGTTCATTATAACCAGCTGACTTTTTGTTATTTCAAATGAGAGACTGACTAAACAGTTCTTTGAATTTATCATTATCCTCGACAATAGCAGGAGTTATGCAATTCTTGGAAGAAATTTTGAAATAAATTTGGTTTTTTTGGACATGCAGCATCAAAACACCACTACACGGTTTGAGAAAATAATCAAATGCTTTGTTGATAGTAAGATATTATATGGGGGTCCACTCCACAAGTTACTATAAAATTAGATTGCTCATTGATATTCCCAGTAGAAGGTCTATACCCACGTACATTAAAATATACAACAGTTGATTCTAATTTGCACTCAACAGACAAGTTTATAAAAATATAATTTTTGAAATATTAAGGTACTTCTTTTTTTGGTTAAAATTAATCCTCCTTCATGTATGTGATTCTTTCTTGCATAGATAGATGCTATACTACAGCTTTCAAAGTAAAAAATATTCATATTACCTTTCATCGAGTGCTCAGAAACACATAAAATGTCAACATTGTTAGTTTTAACATCACGTTCGATTGCACTACGTTTGTTAAAAAACCTTGTACATTGACACAACAAATTTTCAAAAATCTTTCTGTTGATGTAGTAGAACTGATTGAATACCAATTTTTTTAAATTTTCATTTATTTTTCACATTCAAGTAGGAAACATTAACATTTATTTGAACACATCAGAATTCACTGGCTGCAGATCCGACGTAGAATTCAATGAATGGTCAGAGACAAACTCCGTTTGGGATAACGACTTGATTAATCATTTCTTCAGTGTTCTTGGTTGTCTTGCGTAACACTCTCTTGTAGTTTCTCAAATTTCCAATGCAATTTTGGCACCACAAAATGCTGAAGTCACTTTTTCCATAGTATTTAAAGCCCTCAATGGTAGTGTTTTTCAATTCTCTTTTGGTGGAACCAGGTTTCAAAATAGATTGAGCTCCAAATTTGTCACCATCAGCTTGTCTTTTATCACAGGCCAGCAAAATTCATAGACAGAAGAATACATTCAACAAAGAACTCATACAAATTAATAACTGGAACGAACTGTTGGGTTTATTAAATTGAAATATTCAAAATAAACGATTCAATCTCTTCTTAATATCAGCCAACAGTTTTGGATCTTTTCTTCCAACTTGTTGATTGCTTTTTTTTCCCGACATAAGCTTTTCGATTAGTTTTTCCTTGGAGGTCATAGGCTTGGAAGTGCCAGCTTCGGAGAGGCTAGCCTTGGAGGTACCAGCCTTGGATGTACCAGCCTTGTAGGAACTAGCCTTGAAGGTACCAGCCTTGGAGGTACCAGCCAAGGAGATGCTAGTCTCGAAGATGTTAGGTTTGGAGGTACCAGCCTCGGAGATGTCAGCCTCCTTGGAGGTGCCAGCCTCAAAGATGCTAGCCTCGGAGAGGTCAGGCATGGACTTACCAGCCTTGGAGGTACCAGCCTTGGATGTACCAGCCTCGGAGGCGTCGGCCTTGGAGGTGCCAGCCTCAAAGATGCTAGCCTCGGAGATGTCAGGCATGGACTTACCAGCCTTGGAGGTACCAGTCTCGAATATGTCAGCCATGGATAAATCAGCCATGGAGAAGTCAGCCTTGGATGTGCCAACCTCAAAGATGCTAGCCATGGAGAAGTCAAACTTGGATGTTCCAGCCTCAAAGATGCTAGCCTCGAAGACGTCAGCCTTAGAGGAGCCAGCCTGGGAGGAGCCAGCCTTGGAAGAACCAGCCTCGGAAATATCAGCCTTGGAGGTGGTGGCCTCAGAGACGCTAGCCTTGGGGGTGCCAGTATCTTCGTGGCTGAAGTGTCGAAACTCTTCAACCAGAGTTTCCTCATTTTCATTCAGTTTCATCTTTTTAGGATCTGGCGTCTCATCTTCTTTAAGCTGCAAAACATTAATGTCAAATATGCAAAAATTATTACATTTTCCCACCTACTTACCTCAATATATACATTGGAAGTGAAATCCAAAACATTTTCGGACCAATGTACTCTTTTTTTAGACATAATAATGATTTTAATTCAATTCAATAATTAATTTCGCGGGAAACTGCAAACAATGCCTTGATGATAGGACGCTTTACACAGCGTTGTTTCGGTAAAATTTCAACTGTTATGATGTATTGTTACCAACCTTAAAACAGTACAACTTTTGAAAAAAAAAAAATTACATCAGCATTTCATGCAGCATGAATTCATTCAATTAAGTTCAACTTTCAACTTCCTAATGTTAATGTTAATTTCTCGACGTAAATAATAAAGTTATAGAAATTATGAAGAAACTTTTGGCGCGTTTTTCTGAGCACATTTCGAAGGAATCTTGTGTTCTGTCTTTTTATGTCGTTTCTGTGAGACATAATTGTCAATATTTAAAGAATAATACATTTGTTGTGCCCCCAAAATCTTCAATATTCCACTAAATATATTTGAGTACTCCGAGATACTGGATAGGAATTGACAGATTTCAAATTTTTTTTTCAATATTATCATACTTTTCTTTGAAATAAGATTAAAATAAGTTAATTCCACCAAGAAGAACTATGTACACTTTGTTTAAAATGGGAGCTTAATAAACTGTTGAGCGAATTTAGGAAAGTAACTTATAAATATCCATACACAGTGAAGGTCATAGAAACTTTTTTCTACTCTACATTCTGTGGAAAAAGGTCCTAAAACTAAAAATGACAAATAACAGAGGATACATGACAGCGATCGACCAATCAGAGGTCACTGCTTTGAGAGGCAAATTCAAAATATTTGATTTCATCTAAAAGGGATATTGCTAGCAAAAAACATTTTACGAAATTGATGTAAAGTCTAGAACAGCGGCAATTCCAAGAAGCCTATATATATCAGAAGGATCGAAAATGCTATTCTAAATGATTCTTGAAGTTTTCGGAAGTTCATACACAATAAAATAAAATCATAAGTTTCCCTAGAACATGTGTCCAGGAGATGTAACTTTCATATATGTGGTATAACAATGGTATCGTTAATCGTTCCTGATGAGAAGGTTACTCAAATTCCACTATACAAATCTATAGATTACGTATGTACAACTAGGTACTAAAAAAAATAATCAACCAACCCCAGGATAACTTTCAGCTAGTCCAGATGGAATTATTTTACAACTAAAACTGTACATTCCAATCAAAACCTTTGCAAACAATTTTCAATATAAGGAAAGAGTTAGAGTGTCATGAAATAACTGAAATTACAAGTCTTTCTGTCGAGAAAATTTGTGAATTAGCAGCATGCTACGTAAGAAAATTAAATTTATTTGTAATTACAGATCACCTGCGACACACAATATTGAACAATTTTTAAATATATTATCAAAAGCACTTGAATATGTCGAAGTCCATGATGAGAATATTACAAAAACAAAAATACTCTGCGCTGCAGACTTCAATGTAAATTTTTTAGACAATGGTGATATTAGGAAAGACAAAATTAAACAATTATTTCTAACTTTAGGTATGAATCAGGTTGTTTTTGAGAATACCAGAGTACAAAACAATAAGGGTAGGTGCCTGGACAATTATTTTGTCAACTTCCAATATACCTACGATACCCACTCTAGAACTAGGTTTGTCTGATCATAATGGCTAATTATTAAGTTTCTCGAAGGATTTCCAACTAACTGTACATTCTACTAGCAATAAAAGTTACACTAATGATAAAATTGACACATTTCTAAATTATTTAAGTAAGGAAAATTGGGTGGAAGTAATACGATTCTACATCGGCCCAAGACAAGTACATTCATTTCCATAATACATTTTTATATTATCACAATATGTCTTTTTCAGTACCCCCTGGTAATAAGAAATATAAAACAAAGAATTGGATCACAGATGAAGTAATAACAGCTAAAATTAATCCTCTTTTTCTTCATACATTTTCTAAACAACATCCAACTATAGAAAATAAAAAAAAAATATACAGATTTCAAAAAAGTATACAATCAATAGATTAATTATGTGTACTAGTGGGGATAGGATAAATTCATGAATGTATTTTATGGTTTTAACTGAGAGTTTGTCTGGACCTGAAGAACAATTATTTTTCAGTTTAGATATCTGAATAATGATTTCATTTTTTGTTGCAGGTTCTAAATATATGGTTGAATCATTTCTTGCTAAGGAGTGTCTGGCTGAATTCATTTTGGGAATTTTTTCTGACATATTGATACCGAGATTGGTGTAAAAATTATTAAATATGTTGGCTTTTTCTTTGTTGCTTGTTATCATATTTCCAGTTTTATTTTTCAATGGTGTGTCTTCTATTTGTATATTGTTCTTTTTCTTATTGCGACCAGTTATATCATTTATGACATTCCATATTTTTTTATTGTCTTTTCCAGCTTCCTCTATTTTGTGCTGATAAAATTCATTTTTTGTTTTTTTAATTAAAGCATTGAGTTTATTTCGAAATTCTTTGTAG